CTCTCTCTCTCTCTCTGTCTCTCCCCCCCCAGTCTTTTTGAGACAGAGTCTCCCTGTAGTTGCACCTGGCCTTGAACTCACAGAGATCATGGTGGGTGTCACCATGCCCAGCTAAATCCTAAATTTCTTAACTGACATTTCCCTTAGAGTTAATAAAATAAACCAGGACTATAATATTGAGTACAAGTTAATTTTGAATGTTAATTTTTCTATATATTTAGATCCTAAGACAAACTCAAGTTTCCTAGCTTGAAGGCAGATTTTTTTTTCTCTTAGTCTGTCATTTCATTGGACTCTATTTTTCTAATTTATTCAGGATTTCTATTTTAAATTCCCTGTTTAGGTATATCTCAAGTGTGTTTATTCTCTGACTGAACAATGAATCCCAAGCATAACAACTCATCCATCCCATATCCAGCTGCCACTGTAGCCACATCAGCTTAGTCATTTGGTTTGTTTTGGTCCTTTGTTTTATCCTTTTTCTTGCAGTTCAGCCTTGCATATAAAAAGATGTGTAGTGTATCTGATCCAGCATTTCCAGGGATTGAACAGCAACAACAACAACAAAAAATTTTCCCCCAGTGCTGAATACTGAACCCAAGGCTTTGAGCATACTGGAAAAGCATGCAACCCCTGCTTATGTCTGCATGGAATTAGTTTCATTTGAATTCAAGACATATCCTCTTCTACCATATCTGAAAGTGTGCAATACTTAGAAAGCATAAACCACATATTTATCTTGGTAGAAAAGTATCACAAATAGCTCATCAGAACAAATAACATGAACTCTTCTATTTACCATGTTGGACATTTGATTTCAAATGCTGAACACGCTGTTTAAAATGTTCAGGAAAAAATTAACGGGAAGTAAAATTCATTCTCTCCCCAAGTAGCAGCCTTGAGAACAAAGATTAGCTATGTAGGGAAGAAGCTTTAGTGTTTCAGGACACAGGGACAGATACTATGCTACCATTTTCTAAGAAAGTAATTAAAACACTACTGAAATTCAAGAAAAACAGATTTAGAGAAAGAATCAAACCTGAATGTGGGAAACAATGCAACAAAGGTATTTTTAATTTACCAGAAACATCTGAATCATGCAAGATGTAAAAGCTCTGTTTATTTTACTATGTAGAGAAAAAGGCAAAGCTAAAATATTAGAAAGTAGTATAAACTAAGAACAGATCAGAAGAGGATAGTGTTTTTGAACTATAATACAACAAAACCAAATCTATCATCTCCTGCAACACACTAGTGCTGGAGAGTCAGCTGTGACTGACTTTGTGACTGTGACTGCCACTCTAGGTTTGATGAGGAAGCAGAGGAGGAGGAAGGGAAGGGGAGGAGAAAAAAGGAGAGGAGGAGAAGGGACAGGGAAAGGAGAAGGAGCGGGAAGGGGATGAAGAGGAGGAAGCAGAAAGAGAAGGGAGGGCTTCCTAAGTCCATTCAGATGGCAGTGCTAATATGGAGTAGCAGCACGTGTCTCTTACTCTAGGTGGGCATCCCTTCCATTATATCACAATATAATTTTCATTCTGAAACTTAAAGCAACTGTATTCCCTAATTACAAGTCACTAATCTCCAACTTTTCATCGAAGTCATTTAAGACAGTACTGAATTACTAGCAAGGACTACTAAAGATATTGAAGAGAAAAGTGATTTAAGTAATAAATAACTCGAAGTCTTATCAATTTAGTATTTATTTATTATCAGGTATTTATAGGCTAAATGACCATAATTTTTCTTATAGTAATTGCTGGCTTAACCTTAATTAACATGACATTATAATCCTTGGGTGTGTTTACTACTTTTTCATTTTAATTTTACCAAGTCTGGAATTAATTCTGCCTTCCTTCTTGCTTTACTTTGCGGTGTTGCTTTTGTCTTTGGTAGGTTTCTTTTAATTAACAGATAGACTCTGTTTTTTATTAATTTTGGGGACTAAAGTCAGTTTAACTTATACAAAGTAAAAACTGGTAGGTTTTGTCTTTTTATTTTTACCTTCTCTTACATGACCAGTAGAGTTTCGGCATCCTATTTTTTTTTTTTTTTGCATTTATTCTAACAAGCATTAAAGGAGCAATAAATATTTCAACTTATATATTTTAATTGCTTTAAAATATTTTATTGGAGCTAGAGAGATGGCTCAACAGTTAAGAGCACTGGGTGCTCCTACAGAGACTCCGGTTTGGTTTCCAGCACCCACATGGCAACTTAGCAATCATCTTTAAGTCCAGTTTCAGGGGATCCAACAGCCTCTTCTGACCCCAGTGGGCACTACACAACATGAGTACACTTACACAGGTTCAAGCAGTACACTCATACACATAAAATAAGAATAACAAAGTATTAAAAAATAAAATATTATATTGATTCTTTGAGAACTTTATACAATGTATTTTGATCATTTTCAGACACCCTTCCCATTCTCCAACACAACTTAACTACCCCCTCCCTCCCTTCAACATCACATCCTCTATTAATATTTTTTTTTCAAAAGGCCTATCAAGTCTAATTTGTGATATCCAATTGCTCTTGGGTTTGAGTTCATCCCCTGGGGCTGGGCAAGCTACCAGGCATCACACCATTAAGAAAAACCAACTCTCCCTCTCAGCACCTACCAATTCGACAATAGAACCTCAGCTAGGCCTGGGGCTTCTTGCCCACCTCCCTGTCCATGTTGGGATTTTTTCTGGCTTGGGCTTGCATGGTTCTTCTGTGTGCTGTCAAAACCTCTGTGGTTTCATATGTGCAACTTTGGCATATAATTTTTATTTTTCATTTGTTGAACCTTCTCTACTGTCTTCTTCTAGTGTTGA